GATGAGTTACTTCCAGCGGTTTTTAATACTTCGCAGCGGCGGAGCCGCGTCCGCAGTGGTTGAGCAGCGGACTAAGCATGTTTCAGTATAATTAACTTCTGCGTCGTCATTTATTCCCTCAAGATAAACTGCCGGCTCCTCATATGGATTAACACAACATTGCATTCTCTTTTGTTTTTTCGGGTCTGTAATGGAGACTTGACTTTAACACGCCTTTTCAACCAAGGTTTTGAATGTGCTTACTAACCAGATGCTCCAAATCGTCCGGTCCATAACTCTTCAACACGCTGTCAGCTCCCGGTCAGAAAGACGCATTTAGTTCAGAGTCCATATGAGATGATATTCAGAAAGGATTTTTTATTAATTGATTTTAGTTGCCTCTGCGATGAAATCTTTGTGTAGAATCTATAAAGTCTGCCCATGTGGACCAGTCAAGGGTGTTAATTAGAACCTGTCAAATGACGGACGGGCTTTAAATTTTCCAGTCGTTTAAAAAAATAACTGGTCAAATACGGAAAATATTCGATTAATGCGACCTCTGGTTGGTGGATTAGAGTCTTAAGGTGGAAAGCCAGCAACAGTGACACATCATGTGCAATTAGACTAAATCTTATAGAAAAAAATTAGGACACCCTATCAAATATTCATCCCTTTAAACAAAAATTTCTGTGTCCAAATATTTCACATTTTGACTCATCTGTACAAAGAACTTTGATCCAAAATTCTTTGCATCTCATTTTTTCCAACATATTTTTTCCCCTTGTACACCTCTATTAAAGTTAAACTTGAGAATGTATGGTCCTGTGATGTCATCTCAGGCTTTTTGGAAACTTATTTTAGCCTTTTATGGTCTACTTTCAGGGTTATTTTGCTTGGAGAGCAAATATATTCCTCACCACATTTGCATTTTATTACATTGTACAAGAAATCTTTACCATGCTCATATTTCTCAATATTTTCATAGTTGATAATTCACATATGCTGATATCTTAGAAAAACACAGACTATCATTGTGTGTCTTAATGTCTTCACATTTTGCAGACTTTTAACAAAAAGGAGATAGAAATAACAGTTTGGTTTTTTTTTTAATTAGGGGCTGATTAAACTTCCTAAATGACAGCCTAACTTCACCTATTCCAAAAAGACAGACTTGAGCTCACTGTTCTAAAACACACATTGTAAATTGCTCATTACCAATGACAAACACAGGCACGAAGGCTCCACAGGGCACAGGCATGGTGAAGGCCAAGGCAGACATCCAAAACTAAAGAGAAAGAAAAAAAGTGAGATTAAAACATAAAATGAAAGAACAGGGTGGCATTTCAAATAGACACAAAGTCCTATGCAGTGTGTCCAAACATAATAACTAAGCTGAATCTCGAATCAGCAGAGAAGGGGGGGCCATGTGAGGTTTATTGCCAAGGTTAGATTGAACTGTCACATTCATTCTTCATTTGACAAAGACCCTGAAATAAAGCTTGTGTAATGACTGGCCTTCGCCGATTGGCTGACACCACAGCAGGCAAGGGGAAAGGACAGCTAATTAGGCAAGAAAAGGAAAATGTCAGCGCCGACAATGTGTAAGCATTGCTCTATGTGCACATGTATCGGTGGACCTGTGTTAAAAAGTATCAACAGTTTCCAGGTACACAGATGTTACACAAGATACCTCGTTAATATTCATACAAAGCTCCACTCGATCACAGTATCGATCAGTTTTAATATATAATCAGTCATTACATCCTTGACACTGAAATAAGCAAATGCAACTAAGAAGATTGGAATACATAATCAATTGTTAGCCAAAGCTAATATTAGTTTGAGGTTCAACAATGATTGCTTTAAATGTACAAATGGAGCAAAAGGTGGTAGAATCAGTGGTAGAGAAAGTAAACCATATTTAAAGGCTACAGTCCTTGATGCAACTGTCCCAGATTTGATTCCCAGCAGCATGACGAGTATTGCATGTCCTGCCCTTCTGTTTCAGCCCTTTTTCCTGTCAAACTACTGATCAATAAAGGCCTCTCTCAACATGCTACCCTGAACAGCAGCAGAAATATAAGTATTTGGGGTAATTTTCATAGTGCTGTGCTGATGACTTAAAGTCAATCCTTAGAGTATATTTATCTCTAAATAAAGTTAGTTTGGTGGACAGGTCAAGTTGATGATTGATGAAATTATTAATATAAAGAAAATGTGAGGACAATGTACCTGACTAATTTTTATGGACATTCAGTCAGGTGTAGGAACTGCTGATCTAAATATCATCCAAACACATAATCAGTTTGAGTCAGTTTTAGGCACAGCTCTGTTCTGTCTGTAGTTTCTTCTATCTTACGGATTTGTTTTAAACTGGTGAAGTACAACTCAAATAATATTAGATAATACTACATTTTATGGTGACTCAGACTGACACTGCCTACACGATGTTAAAGTTCAGCTAAAAACTGGGCTTTGTAGTATGCTTTACTTAGTGGGAGGACAGACTCATGAATTGTATTTTTAAACAAAGTAAAAATAACAAAACCAAAACTGGTGCTGCATAAGCCATAGCACCGGTTCTTTGTATTTCCACCATGAACTTAGAAGAACTGCAGGTGATGTTTTGTCTACAGTCAGCCTGTGAGATGATCTGAAATTACTCCTCGACTATTTAGGTCAGTTTGGTTTATTAATTCACTTCTTGCTTCAATATGGGGGATGAATTTTTTATTCATCTAAGCCACACAAAATTGAGATGTTGTCGCATTAAACATTTACATGCCCAAAGTGCACCATGTGAATTGGAGTATTATACAAACTATTAGACAAATCTCATTGCTGTATTAATCTCATGGTTTCAAATAGACTTTTTAATTACTCTCATTGTTCCGTCTCTCTCCTTCCTCTCTCCGGACCCTCTGCTCCATCTATAGTTAGTAGTAATTAAGGCCGGCTGCCATGGTGACGTAATGCATCTCCTGCTGCAACCCTGAACTGCTACCGTTTTCACACCTCGAGCAAACACACATATGTGCGTAGGTGTTCACACACCCCCGCAGCACACACCATAACACATACTCTGTGACGAGAATCAAAGCTCCATGCTGCCAGACACACAAACATTTGATTACACTAAATGAGCCTCACGGGGAAAATAAAGCAGACACTGGATTCTTCAGGCTCCCTTATCCATCGTATTGTTGCTCTTCCACCCAGACAGTGAAACACAAATGAGAAAGAGGGAGTATTGAAGGATCTCTGGACTCATAATAAAAGCTTAAACTTAAGGTTGAGGCCATGAGTTCTGTGGAGAGAATCACAGAAGTGCACCAGGGCTCCTGCAGGTGTTTGACATTATCTGACAGCATTAAAAACCCATACTGAGTGGAGAATGTGGCCATCTAAATTAATTGTAATATTCAAGTAACTCAAACTGAGAACAGCTGAATGGGTTTTCTGAAACAATCACTAGGAAATTATTTTAATTAAAGTTCTAAATGTGTGTCATATCTAACCTTTAATGTGCTGATTACTATGAGTCAAAAACTTTACAGTTTTCAATAATCAAAAATGCAATAATCAAACCCCTGAGATTGATTTACAAAACTTTGAAGTCTAGATAAAAAATAAATAAATAATAACAATAATAATAAAAACATGAAAATGACTATATATCAGAAATATTTCAAAGAAACTGAAGCTTGGAAGCTGAAACACCTAAACACACTGTTAATTCACATGCTACTGGCTGGCGATTGCATTATTTTATTTGCGACTGATTGGCGGAAAAGAGATTAGAAAAACAGTTGAAATTAACTTTTGTGGTAATGCTAAAATGATTTTCACTGCACATATTAAGGTATTTTTGGAATTTGAACAAAAAAGGCATTTAGTGTTTCTACAGTACGCAAATATTACGAGATTTCAGCTATTTGTGGGTGGCTGTAGTCCTTAAACCACACACACACAGAAAAACAACAGCAGCCTTTTTCTGATACCTGGAAAAGGTTTTTGGTGCATCAAAAAATATTTTTGTCAGATTAATAATTTTTATGGTAATGTGTCAATTTCCACTTTTTCTTGCCACCTACGGTCCAAGCAAAGAGCTTTTAGTTTCACAAAAAAGTTTCACAAAATAATTTCTCAAATGATTGATTTGAGGAATTCAAATCAATCATTTGAATTCCTCTCTCAGACCGCAACCCAACTTCCTCCATTATTATTGTTATTATTATTATAGTCACAGTTCTGATTACAGACGCTCTCAGTGAGTGCCAGCTGGAGACGTCCTCAAAGGAAGCAGGTCCAAGCGGAAAACCATTGGACCAACCCATCGATATAATCTGCCTTATCGTCCCATTTAATTTGACAGATTTGAACATCCTTCTCTCTGAGAAAACCAGTTTGAAAAATGTCAAACACAGACAATATTAACCACTATGAAGAGATGAGGAGGCAAAAAAATAATAATAATTGGAATAAAAGCAGAAAGCACAATGTACACTGATGAAGGCAAAAACTGACAAAATTTGATGAGTCTGGGTTACAGATATATTTTTTGTGGTCCAATAGAACTACACACTACTACTTTTGAGCATAATGGGAATTTTATTTTCATGCTTTAAATTATTTTCTGAACATCTGGGACATGAGTCTGAACAAAGACAAAAGTGGTCCGATCACTGTAGAGAAACTTTAGTGTCAATCTGCACAAAACCTTGTGCACATAAGTATTAATATTAAACGTAACGTTGGGATCGGCCTCCATTAAGCTGAAATCTGCAAAGAGCACCTCGTCTGCAGGGTGTAGATGACAGGGTAATATCTTCCAGCTGCTTGTTTGCACAGAAAAATCCACTCAAACACAGGTGAACGTGACAAGATGCTGCTGGCTGTGTCGTTTCCATTCCCATAGGACAGCAGTCCTTACCATGGCAACCACTCTGACGTCTGTAAAGTTACAATGGCCTACAAATCCCCTATGGCTCAGGGTTACATCCGAGATAAACTAATGAAAAGATCCCTGTAGGCTGTTAATGTCCCTCCATGTATTTTTAATAAGTCATTGATGGAAAAAGTACCTCAACTAGAGTAATGTCATGTTACAGATTGAATGCTGTTGGTGGTTAAAGCTCCTGCACTGAAGGTTTAAGTCTAGAAACCTTCATGTTTATGAATCATGTTTAGCTTAAAGCTAACATACTGACAGAGCAGCACCATGTGTCAGATGTGTACTTTTTTTAAGCAAATAGGTTGTCAACGGGGAACTTTCTTTAAGATATATGAAGATATTAGAAAAAAATTTTTTTAATTACCTCAACTCTGTCTCTCAGCCTCTCGCAGCCTGAACAAACAGTAGAAGCTGCTTCTATTTAAAATAGTTGGCTCTGAGTTGTCTTTAATCAATAGCAGCCTCCACACTCAAGAGTATTAGGAATTTTATGCGATAGTGCTCAGTATGGTGTGATCACCGATCAGTAAGGATCATAATTAAGTTTCTATCCTGTTCAGTTTCATTTGTCTTATGCACATTGAGACAAAGTCAACAATGCAATGAAATGCTTTGCATGAGAAGAACTGTTCAAATGGCTATAAAATAAAGGATTAGTAGCATGCAATGGAAGTAAAAAATATATATAACTCAATGAATATATAATATTTAAAACTGCAGAAGAAATCTAGCAAACAATACAGTAAAATATACACTGCAGGACAAAGAAAGTATAGGCAGTATCTCATAGTATTTAACAGGTGATATGTCTTACATGATTATTTATTGTATTAACGTTGAGATGAGTTAAGATAGTAAGGTAGTGACATACATGATAGTCATAAGGTACAGTTATAGACATAACTGTCACAAATGTGGCTTGTACATGTAGTGCAGTATTAATGTTGAGTTTAGTACTCTCAACAATAAACCGTATAACCAGAGGGTTTAGTGACAGTTTGTGGATAATGCTCGTCTTTGAGTCATTTTGTATCTGCTGGCTGGCTCCTGTACCGTAAACTACAGAGTAGCAGTTGGAAAAGTTCTTGTGCTGAATGGGTGCAGTCACCAATCAACTTGGGTTTCCAGTCAATTTCTAGGAATAACATTATCTTACAATAATATTGACTTTGAGAGCAACAAACTAGGATTCATTAAGCTGTCTCCTGTTTTATGATTTCAGCGGAAGACCCGTTCATTATAGATGTTTATAAAGATCTGAGGTGACAACCTGAAAAGGCTGATTTTGAGGATTTGATGCTGTTTGATTTGCATTGATTTTGATCAAGAAT